TATTAGTTGATAGTAAGTCTAGGTGGATAGATATACATTTTATGAATAAAGGTACAGATGTTAGTCAAACAATAGAAAAATTAAAATTGACGTTTTGCTTGCTGGGATTACCAGATACAATAGTATCTGATAATGGTCCTCCGTTCAACTCTAATGAGTTTAATCGTTTTTGTCATATTAATGGCATTAATGTTCTAAAAAGCCCTCCTTACCATCCGCAATCTAATGGATGTGCAGAACGTCATGTACAGACGGTAAAAGCTTCATTGAATAAGTATATTGCAGAAAATTCAACTATGACAGTTGAACAGCAAATCGTTAATTTTCTCTTTAGTTTTAGAAATACTCCTTGTTCAGTTACAGGACTTAGTCCTAATGAAATGATTTTCAAAATTAAACCTAAAACTCGTTTGGATTTACTAAAACCTAAAACGAGAGGAAAAGTATTGTTTAATAAAAATTTTGATTATATTAAACCGATCATTTTTGTAACAAACGAAAAAGTATTAGTTGGAAAGTTAGGTCCTTATAGTAAAGAAAAATGGGTTGAAGGAGTTATTGAGAAATGTATTAGTTCTGTTACATATTTGGTTAGAGTAGGTGAGAGACTTTTATATAAGCATGTGAACAGTTTAAGAAAAATGCATAGTTTTGGTGAGGTGCTGGATAAAAATTTGACTACACAGTATGTACCAAATGTTTCTGATACAGTTCCATTAAAATTAAAATATGATAATTTCCAAGATGCTCAAATGTCAGAAGTGCCTTCTCAATGTAGAAAAAGAATCATTAAGTCAAGATGATAGAAATATCAATTGTAAAAGTCCAGTTAGGTTACCAATAAACGAGCCTGTTAATTTGGAAGTTCTCTCTAAGAATAGTACTGATGAGGTAAATTTGAGACGCAGTACTAGACAACATAAAGCACCTCAACGTTTAGATTTATAGTTATGTACCTATCTTAAGTGGGAAGGAAATGTTATGTATGCCACTGACTATATAATTGAAAGGTTGGTTAGCAACCAGAATAATAGGCAGGTACAGTTAAAAAAGGTAGTGTGTACATTAACATATCCTAGCCCTGAGTTCCCAAAGTAATTATCCTCATACTGAAGTTAATATATCCTAGAAGTTACTCAACGTGTTTTCTTCAATTCCTCAGAAATACACTACATGCTTGAGGGTTCTCACAGTTTATTTTAGGAACATTGAGAATCTCGTTCCAATAATGGGAACTTTGAGCTCTTTTATTTTGATAACGTTGGCAAAGTGCATCATATGCTATACAATAATTAGAGGCATTAAGTGGAATCGTTTTAACTATCGTTAATGGTTCACTAGTTAAAGATGTCACCAGATATTGAAATTTTTCAATGTCAGATAGATCCCGATTACTATGCACTAAAACTTTAAAAAGGTCTATAAAAGAACTCCATTCTTTGAGATTACCGTTAAAAGTGGGCAGAGATAATTTTAGTAAGCGTATATTCACATGTTTTGCACCCTGCAGACTTGAGGGACTTTGAGAACCTTCATGATACGGAGGAAAAATATTAATATAGAGTACCCCGATTGCATGAAAAACTTCGTCAAATGTGGAACGTACTACTTCCTCTTCATGTACCAAATCGTCAAAATCATCCAAGCCTGACAAAAGTCCTACAATACCTCCATGTATTTGATTAAAATCATTATATATTATGTCTCTTGATTTGAATCTTAACTTTAAGGAACCTGTTTTATTTTTATCATCAGGATTATCCAAACACTCTTGTGCCAATCTATATAACTCTTGAATTCGACTTATTTCGATATTACGCTGAGTTTGCAACTTCTTAATCTCTCTTTTAATTTTGTCGGCCATAGCTATGAGATACAACTTAAAATAATATTCGCCTCAACCTATACTGACTCTAACTACCTTGAAATTCAGAAGTAGATATCAAATAGTATTAATTAATTAGCTCGAAGGACCATAATGTTTGGGACTTACGTTTTATCGTATTGTAATTTGGGTAATTTAAACGCAACTTGTAGTATATATGTCTTAAATTTGAAGTGTAAATTTCAATTATTAATTGTGCGTGAGAATGGCATTTCCATGGACTCTTCGCGCGGTACCGTAAAAGAGAGCACGAGTGCGCTCTTGATTAAATAAGGACAGAGAGATGTAGTAGCCGAAAATATGTGCTGTCGCTGTCCGAAAGATGAGAACGATTTTTGCCGGCAATCAAACAAGAACCAATTATTTTAGTGCATAAAACCCACGCAGTTTCGGGGTAAGTCCTTTATTGGTTTTGCCATTTATCGATTTTGATAACTTTTTAAAAATACAGTCCACTGATTAGCTCGTATATTTATACAGGGTGTCCCAAAAGTGCTGCACCGACTTCAAAACCAGAATTTTAAATGGAACACCCTGTATGTTATTGCATTTTTGGATTCTACGTAAAATTCTGACCAGATTTCATGTAATATACCCTATACCTAAGTTCAACTGTTTTGGAAATATTGACAGTTGAAAATTGACTTTTTGCAACTTTGACAGGCTGTAAAACCTAAACGGTTAATTTTAGATGAAAACCGATTTTACATTCCTATCTTAGATTTTTATGAACTATCATTTGACACCAACTTTGAATTTAACCGGAGATTAAATTTAAATGGAATTTTTAATCATGGATTAAATTCAAAGTTGGTGTCAAATGATAGTTTATAAAAATCTAAGATAGGAATGTATAATCGGTTTTCGTCTAAAATTAACCGTTTAGGTTTTACAGCCTGTCAAAGTTGTAAAAAGTCAACACCCATTCACAGAAAGGGTAATAGAGATGGCTGCCCTAATTATGGATGACAGATGTATCTCGGTCACAAGTACCTACAATAAGTAGGCTATTACTTAATTAGAGACATAATAGAACAAGAATATGGCCCTCACGAAATAGAGGAACAAGCGGGATTTTGAGCCGGGCGTAAATTTAGCCTTATGCAGCTCAATGAGAAAAAAACTTCTACAAACAGAGATGTCCACCTGCTCTTCGTTGACCTTACAAAGGCTTATGACACGCTTCCTGTCCAAAAACTTTGGAAAGGAATGGAAAACACTCAAATAAATAATACTGCAATAAAAACAATAAAACAGCTGTATCACCAGGCATCATCAACAATAAAAATAGGATCTACTCTGTCCGATAGCTTCTCCATAACTTAAGGTATACGTCAAGGTTGTTATTTATCTCCCACACTGTTCAAAATCTATTTAAATGAAACACTAAGAAAGTGGAGAAGATCATGTAATGGTATGAGGATACAACTGAATAACGAAAACATGTTTATATACACTCCATTTTGCAGACGACCAGGTGGTAATAGCCCAGGATAAAGAGACCTAGAATTCATGACAATGAGACTTCTTACCGAATATGAAAAATGGGGGCTATCGGTGAACAAAACAAAAGCCAAATACTTATGCATCGACCAAAATTCAGGAAACCTAACATTAGACAATAATGTTGAAATATCTACATGCGACAAATATACCTAGGAACACAAATAGATAAGACAGGCAGAACAGAAACCGAGATCGAAGCAAGGATACTGGATAGTAAGAGCATTCGATGGTCAAATCATAAATCACGTGACAGAAAACGACTTATCTATAACTCTATATTCCTAAGCATAATCTTATACGGATGTGAAACGTAGCAATTAACGAAAAACCTAAAAAGACGAATCATGTCACTCGAAATGTACTTTTGGAGTCGATCTACAGGAAATTCAAGAATGCAAAGCATAACAAATGAAAGAATAAGAGAACTCATGCAAGTAGAAAAACACTAATAGACGAAAAAAAAAAAGACAACTGACATGGTATGGACCATAGAAAGAATGCATGACCAACGGCTTCCTGCTAGTAATGTAATGGACACCCCACGAAAGAAGGAAAAGAGGAAGACCTGAAGCAACATGGTTTGGAGGAATACAAAGAGCCATGTCGGAGCGGGACTTACATTCAGGAGATTGGGAAAACAAAAGGGGCTGGAGACTGAGAGCCCGAAGGAAAATCAAAATTTCAGTAAAAGCAATTCTGACTCTGCATTGAATTATTTGATTAAGTATATCTATTATTGTCACAAAATGACATTATGAGGAAAACTGATGCCAATTCAAGAGAACTCTAGGGAAATTTCGGTCAGGCTAAAATACAGATGAAAAGATAAGTTCATAAGTATTTGATGAAAAATAAAAACCTATTTTAAATCTAACATACCTACGTATAGTTCAACATCTTTCCACTTTCCAACGAAATAAAAAAAAATGCAATTTATAGACCAATAATAATTTCTCATTTTTTGCGTCAAAAATATAAAACATCATGCTTTCCCAATATATTTTTGACTTTCTGGACATTTTTTTTTTTTTGGCGGAAGACCAATAATGTTTCCTTGCTAATCATAACAGCCGTATGCTTATTTAATGCCTGTTTTAAAACGGTTCGCTTTCAAAAGCATCTATAACTTAATCGCTTGAAAAAAAAAATTGCATCGTTAAATGCAAATTTTATTTATAAATTGTGACGTTAGTGAATGTTTGATTTAAAGAGGAAACGTGTGATTTATTATTTCGACAGTGGAACCTTTTTCAAACTAGAAAACACGCTACATGCTACATAGAAAAAAATGTGGAAAACCCAGGAACTGGCAAACGAAAATAAACTGTTTTTTAGGTCCTCCCCCCAATTAAAAAATGTAAAGTTTGTCCCCACGTCATTAGGTTGACGAGTCTAAATTTGTCTACAGCTATCAGGAATCACGCTGACGCAGGTCAATTTTTTTATTTTAAACACCAGTTTGTTTTATCTCAGAAAAAAAAAAGATAGATGAAGCCCCAGTTAAATAGGCTCACATCCTCATTACGTGTATCATCAATCTATATACAATCATTCTAGTGCAAACCAGTGTAAACGTGAAATCCACTTACTATAATAACAAATACTTGACCTGGAGGCACTTGGGGTGATGTTTCGTTACCATGTTCCTCCAAACTGGCCTGATTGGAAGCGTTTGTAATTGTTACATCGGATCCACTTGGCAAAGGCAAAACCACAGTATCGTGAAATTCACTTGTATGTTTCAAGTTGGCATTTTCAATATGCGATGGGTGCAAGAACTCGTAAGGTGTAGGAACAAGTACACTATCATGTAACTCACTGGAGTGTAATAATTTTTGATCGTCTTTATCGATTTTTATGCTATGATTATCGATAATTATTTCATGGCTTTTTGGGGGTTGTATTATTTCTGCTTCGTTATTTAGATGTGAAGTTCCACAAAATCCATCTTCTTCTTTGCTTTCAGTTTCTTCAGCGATATCAGGCAATTCTCTTAAAGGGGTTCTAACCATTCTGGTATCGTAAGCTTCATCTTCCGGTTCAAAATCGTATAAATAATCCATTACTTCATGATCATTATCATTTTCATGATCTTCATTAGTATACATTGTAGAAGCGTCATGTAATTCCTTACGTAGTTGATCTATGTCAAATTTACTTTTTGTGTCTAGGGGTTTTCCTGATAGTTGATCTAATAACGAGTTTTGGACTTGATCTAGAAGCACCACATGATCTTCTATTGCGCTAGTTGATAGGGCTTTATTTGATAATTTTTTCATTTCGTTAGCATCTTTATCTTGTTTGGGTTTAAGTATAACTGTCACAGTTGAATCCATGCTACTCACCTCATCGGTGGGCATTTCTAATGAACCACTACTGCCATCGTTGTCAAAGGTCTTGTTTTGACTTATTTGAGTATGGATTTCGTTATTTTTGTCCTTTATTTGCTTGAAATCTTCTGAAACTGCAGTGTTTTGTTTTATATTTTCCAAGTTCTTTTGCACAATAGTTTTAGGAATTTCTTCTGTAGGTACTTCAGGGAGATGTTTTAAAACTGTATCTACAGACATCATTGAGTCAAACTTAGGTTTCTCTATAGGTGTATCGATTATATTCTTTACTGCTTCTGTTATTTCCATTTCAAGAGGCGTAGTACTTAGCATTTTTTTGACTGTAGATCTCACATCCTTTTCTAAATCAGTTTCGTCTTTGCTTGTATTGTTATTGTCATCTTTGCCATCTTGCTGAGGTGGTTCTGAATCAGTAGAGCTTTCATGTAAATGTGGGATATACTTTTTAATAATTTCTGGTTCTACTACTGTATCAGATCTGTAAAAATCAGGCTTTTCATTCATTTTGTTACCTTGGTCGACAGAATTGTTAGTTTCTTTTGGATTTGATGTTTCCTCTTTATTATCATTTGTCTGTGCTTCACAGGCTTTTACTTCTGAGGATTTTTCACCATTCAGTCCTGTTTGGGGTAAATTTTCGAGTTCATTCTTGGGAACATTGATAAATTCTGATTCCTTTTCGTTAACAGTATTAATTGTTTTTCCTGTTTCATCACCAGCTATATCTCCTGATTTATCATTTGTTGTTTGTGAAGCTTCTCTGCTTTCTATTTCTTTTGATCCAAGATTTTTGGCATGTTTTGTATCGATATCTTCATTTTTGTTTGTTGTTTGTAAATCTTCCACTATTTCTTTTTTAGAATCCTTATTTGTTTCGTCTTCATTATTGCCATCCAAATCTTTTGCTTTATTTTTCTCTATATTTGAATTTGTTGTTAAATCTTCATTAGTTTTTGCTGTAGCAAATAAGTTAACAAGATCTACTGTAGGTTCGTGCCCTAATTTTGTCATGCTTGATTTGTCTGTTTTACCATTTTGGCTTTGTATATTTGTAGATTCTACTATTTCTTCTTTTCCGCACAAATTAGTTCCATTTACTTCTGCATTCTTATGTTCTGCTTCATTTTCTATTTTTTCTTCAGTTGAACTGACTTTTAGTGATTTACTGGAAGAAATTTCATCTATTGCATTATCTTTGCAAATTTTATCAGGTACTGCTTTTTTTAATTTTCCCACATTGTCTGTTGTACTAATTTTGCTCTCATCTGGAGCATTTATGAGATTTATGTTATCTACTGATTTTTCTAATTTTCCTTCAACGTTTTCTGCATTAGCTGTGCTTTGTTCTGAATCCTTACTAGCTACATTTTTGTCTAGAGTACTTCTGCTCTCTTCTGTTTTAGGATCATCTTTATTATCTATTGCTTCTAATATTGCTTCACTCGAATTGCCTGCTTCGGCAGTTTTTACGTGGATACTTTCATTAACTGTTGCTTCATCATCCAGTTTATCACCAAGTTTATTTTCTCGGAAACTTTTGTTGTTTACATCTTCCGATTTATCATACTTGTCTTCCGCTTTCCCTACATTCGTTTTGTCTCCATCAACAACTTTAGCATCTGTATTTTCAAAATCATTCTCTTCAACCGCTGTTTTAATACTGTAACTATCTTTATCTACTTCATCAACTTTGCTTCCCTTTAAAACATCATCTCCACCCACATTAACATCTTTTAAATTTTTATCCGCATCTTTTGTATAACTAGTAGTGTTTAAATTGTCCATTTGATCTTTTCCTCTCTCATCATTTGCTACATCTTTCAATTCAATATTTTCACCTTTGGCACCAATAGAATTCTTTTGATCTTCATCCTTTTGACTGATTACCTCTTGAGAACTAGTATTTGAATGTTTTACAACTTGATCCTGACTTGTTCCAGGCGAAATCATTTTAGACACCTCCACAATATTCACATCAGATTCGTTTGATGGCAAAGGCGTAACCACAATATCATGAAACTCACTGGAATGTTTCAAATTTCCAGCTTCACTTAGACTTACGGATTCAGCTTCTTTAGGATCGAAAGCGTCCAGTGATTTACTACTCCGAGGAAAAAATGCTGTAGCGTGGAATTCACTGGAATGCAATAAATCTTGACTGGCGGTTTGAGAATTCAATAAAGCACTGGATTTTTGTCCACTGGCCAAATTATTAGATTCTTCCTTCGAATTTATCGAATCTTTGCCAATTTGCAAAATTCCAATTGAATCTTTTACCATTTTAGATTTTTCTTCTTCTTTAGAATGTACTACTTTTGATGAATTACTTTCGAGTTTAAGTTCTGCAATTTTTTCTTCTTGATGTTCATTACTAGAGTTAACAATTTTATTTTCATTGTCTTTTTCTTCCTCAGTTATATTTTTAGCAAGATCTTTTTCCACATTTTGATCAGTTGTAGATGCACCTGCTCCTACACCAAGTCCCTTATCATCGCCTGAATTTATTTTGGTATCAGCTTCCTTGATAGTCTTTATCTTTTTGATCTTCAGTTTCTCATACTTAATTCTTTGCAGAAATCCTCTTACTATGGCCTGAATGGTAATGATGGCTCTTTCATCTTTATTAAACGAGTTCTGAAAAATAAGGATTGAACTTGATTCTAAACTATTCTCAGCAAATACTTACCTGTTTATTTCGTAACATCCTCCTAACAACTAATCCTTTCCATGCAGATTGAATTTTAATCGCAGCCTCCTCTTCTTTTTTGTCTATTGGAACATTAGCATCTTTTGAATCTCCCAAATTCTCAGTTTTAGATTTATCATCTTGTTCAATATTTGCTTCCTTCTCATCATTATCAACTCCAAATGTTCTATTCTCTCTCAAAAATTTTTTTGCTTGAAATCCTTTCCAAATTTTTTGAATCACCAATGCAGCATTGCTCAACCTATCCAGAGGTAACTTTTTGGACAATTCTTTATCAGTATTTGTAGTTGAAAATTTCCTCTCGTGACTCTTCTCAGAAGAAGCTTCAATTTCTTCCCGCAATTTTTTTGGATCATATTTAACTTCACCATTTTCCAAATTACTCAAATGCTCTTCAATTAATTCAATATGTTTTTCAGCACCTTCAACACCTTTCAATATTGTTTTGGCTATCAATACGTCATCTTTAGCTAGACCATTTATATTTTTCAAAGACTCATCTCCACTTCCTTTACTGGTAGACTTTAGTTTTTCTTCTAATTCTTTGCTGTCAGCTTCTAATTGTCTTACTAGAGGTCTTCTACTTGCCGATCTTCTAGCTGAGGTAGGAATTTTACTTCTCGACTCTGTTTCTGGTGTTTTGATGAGACCTACTGACCTAGCCCTTCTAAATTTGGCATCGGAATCCGGTTTTTTGTTGTTGAGCAGGTTTGTCTGTGAAAGTGGTCTTTCTTGTTTGCTTTTTGGTAGCATACTCTTCTTTTTGCTGTTTTTATCATTTTTAAATGATTCTATGCTGCTTTGTTGGGACTTTTCACCATGGAATACATTTGATTGTTCGTTTTGAAGAAAATTATTTAAATAATGTCGTATTTCATTGATGCTAGATTTTTCAGTGGATTTTGAATTGAAGATGTTGCTGATAACTTCAATTACTGTAGCTACTTGTTCGATGTCTCCTATTTTTGGTGCCTTTCTGACATCTGGATTATCAGCTACATCTTTTGTGTTTTCTTCACTTACTCCTGCAGTATGTTTTTCAATTTTGATTTTATCGCCTTCTTCAATTACTGACTCAGAGCCAGTTTTTTTAATAATTGGTTGATCTGCGTTTTCACTTCTTAGTTCATCCTTCTCAAGTGGCTTATTATCTTGAGATTCGCTTACGCTTTTCTCATTCTGTTCACTTATAAGAGAGCCGTTCTCAATTTTCGAAACACTGTTTCCATCATTCGCAGATTCTTTATCAGAACTATCTGTTGTAATAAAGTCTTGATCTAAAGAGGTATCTTGACTGTCTAATGTCTTAGGTTTTATACCTTGATTTTCCTCAGTACTAGATACAAGAGTAACTTTATTATCTTTGCTGTTTTCTGAGTTATCATTTAAACCAGTTTCTTCAATCTCCTCTATAGTTATACTTCTTTTATTCCGATCATTATTTGATGATTTTTGACTTGGAATATTGTCATCCATAGATTCGTTTTCAACAATTATTAATTTTAATTGATTTGATTCTTCGCTAGAATTATTTTCTTCGTCATTTTTATTCATTAAAGTGTTATCAAAATCTAGAAGATCTTTGACTGAATTGAAAGCTAAAGTTTTTTCTGTGGTAAGATATGGTTTTTGTGTTGGTGGTTTATCGATGCTTAAATCTAAAGATGAATGCTTCACTGCTTTGTTAACCTCTAAGCTATGAGTATTTTTAGGTTCTTCTGGCTTGGCATTTGAGTTTACAATATCTTCTTTAGCAATAATTATTTCCTTTTTTGCTGCATCAAACTTGCTTAAAATGTCTTCGTTTTGGCCGTCTTTAGCTGTTACTTCTAGAGATGCATCATTATTATCAGCTTCTACTTCTATTTTCTTGGCTTCTGGTTCAGAAGATGTCTTTTCTGAATTGATTTCTATATTTAAATTATTATCCGAGGTTACTTTATTATTTTCTGCAGCACCCATTTCTTCATTTTCACGAAAAAAGTTAGTTTTTTCAATAGCATCTTCTTTTGGCTTAGGTTGGGCTAATTTAGGGACTTCACTGTTTTCGCTGCTAGATTCACCAATTTTTGGAGAAGAAATACTGACAATAAGAACATCATTTGAATCGTCCATTGATTTCATTTGTATATTCAATACGTTTTCTCCAGGGTTTTTATCTTTTTCTACAGATTTTGAAGAATTATTGTCTTCACTAGCAATCGAGTCTGAACTCGTATTTTGATCAGCAACAGCTTTAATTTCCAATTGCTCGATTGCTCTCTTATCTTCTGCTAAATTTTCTTTCAAATTTTCAGAACCGCACTCTTGATCATTTTTTATTTGTTCTATGCCTTTGTTGTTGGAATAATCTTCGCTTTGTTGTTTTATATTGTTGAATTCATCTCCATTTTTTTCTTTGCCTTCCAGTTCCTTAATTGCTTCACAATATTTTCCTTCATTTTCATTGGATATTGCTCTTCCATCTTTTTTATTCAAGTTCAAGTCATCTTTATTTTCTGCCTCTAACTGAACGTTATTGGGATCATCTTTAGTAGCTATAACTTCATTTCCAGAATAATCTCCATTAGCTAACGTTTTTTCTTCTTCTATATCCAAAATATTTTTGCTAAGCTCTGTATTTGTATGATCTTCTTTAGTTTCTGGATTTTCTTCTATTTCTGCTACATTTGAAGTGAATGTATTTTCTGTGCCAATTTTGTTTGCTTCTTTTACCTCATCATCTTCTTTGGCTACTTCTTTCTTTGTATCCAAACTAGTCTTATTAGCTTCAACTTCACTCCCAGTTCCATGGGGTTCATTAATTTCATCAGATGCACTAATATAAGTTTCATTCACTTGACCATCTGGTAAATTATTAGTTTTCTCAGGATCATCAGTGCGGGCTTCAACTTCTTCAAGGGTTTTGTTGGTCGCATCTTTGACATTTTTATCCAAATCTGTGGAATATTTTTCAATAGCTTTTCCTACTGTAGTATCTGTAATGCCTTCGACATTTTTATTCATAGAATTGGTTTCTCTAGCTGATAATTCTTTTTCAATTTCTTCCATTTTATCATAAACTTCAGAATCATTTGTACCACCGACTATTGAATTATTATTACTTTTAATTGTAGTTTCCTGCATATTTTTTTCAATTTTCTCAGTTTCTTCCTCTCTAGTTTTATTGAGTAGTTCACTTTGTTCAGATATGGCATCATTATTAGATATCGAACTTCTATTATCGCATCCAGAATCTTCCATTTCAGTATCAATATTGACAAAATCTAAGTTTTCACTTTTATTAGTTTTTATTATTCCTTTATCACTTGTATTTTCTAATTTAGAAACTTGCTTAAGGTTTGTTGTTGCAGCCCAAATATCCGAATCCAAAATATCTTGAGAGGTTTTCTTAATATCTTCAGGTAAAATTTTCTTTGCACCAATTTCGTTTTCCAATTCGCTGCCAGCAGAAATAAAAGATTTTGATTCACTTCTAGCTTTAGGTTGCTTAACCACATTTTTATTAGAATCATCATTTAACTTCAATCTGGAATTAGAGTTTTGTCGTTTTTCTCTCGGAGTACTTTGCACACTTGAAATACTTCTAGGTGTTGAAGAATCTTTTTTTGTAGTACTCGTAGATCTTTCCCTTTTAACTAAAGGCTTTGATGGTTCCTTAACATTTTCTTTGTGATCTTGGCTTTTTCGAGTACTGTGTCTCTTCGATTCGGTTTGCATATTTTTCGAGACTACTGGAGATTTGCTTCTCATGCTTTTTTGCCTCGACAAATGCCTGGTTGGTCTTGTAGTTGTTATTTTCTTTCCTTGGACGATATCTGGTGGTTTCAAGTGGGTTATTGATTGGATAGATCGGATAGGATAAGCTACAAAAATTTTGTTTGATTAATAATGAAAATCAATTGACAAAACTTACTTTTGCGATCAGTAGTTTGGTCTCTTATATTAACCAAATGGGAAAAGTATTCTGAGGCAAAAATGTAAAGATCTTTTGGTTTTTTTAAAAGCACTTCTTTGGTAAGGCCTTCCATTAGTTCCTCTAGGCCGATAGGGACGCTGACCCTTTTAACTATCATTCCTAGATTATCGGTGTCTTTTTTTGCAAATGCGTGCATTGTTATGAAGGACCTGAAACTTCAACTACAATGTAGAAAATGCCATGCTTTAGGTGAATAAATTCATAATGAATAAGTAGGTACTTACAGTGTGAAGAGGATGATAAAAGTGGAACAATTATTCTTAACTCATTAACAAACTGTTATAAGGGACACAGGGAGGTTTTTAAAGGGTTCATTATTCGATCGGCTTTATTGCGCTTTATACGGTTGCCATACTGACCATTCAGCCCTCAAAATACAAACATAAAATCGGAATATGGAATTCAAATTAGGGTAGCTTACCTCAGTTAACCTTGACATGTTAAGGTAAAGGTGAAAGTTAAAGATGAATATGTATATATTTGTTTGAAAGCGTTAGTAGGTATATGTATTTTCCTTTTCCTAGCCATAAAAATTAATTGCATAAGACTAGATAACTAATTAATAAATTAATCAAAAATGTAATGTTCTGTTTCATTTAATACCAAAATATTCAGATTATATTAGGTATTTCTATGGCATTCCAGTTTATTTGCTCTAGAAATATGAGAGTTTTCTGATACCGCTGAGAGGCCTCTGCGAAATTCGAATCTCCATTCTTCAACTAAACAATGACAAAATTAAGTGAGGATGAGAGTGTCTATGTAATTTGGGAAACATCCTTTAAAAGCCTCTCAATCATTAGTATTCTCAAGCAAAAAAAGAACTCAAGACAGAAAGAAATTTGCGAATATGGTAGAAAACACTAATGACCTATCAGTAGGTCTGAAAACCAAAAAAACCTGTCAAATACAACATAAATAGTCTTGGAGATCTCCGATAGAGAAATCTAGTTCCGGGAAAAGTTCTATGTTATAAGTCTCAGCAGAGTCGCATTTTGAGTGTTTTTTATGAATTAAACACTTTTTTCATGTATATTTTGTAGAAATATTTGGGTTGTGAATCGAAAATCAGTTGACACTGAAAGATGGTAGTTTTTAGAACTGATTGGATCAATTAAGTAATCTAAAACTTAAACAATTGGTTCTTCTTCTTCACATGTCGTCTTCTCATTGATGATTTAATTGTCACCACGTTTCTAGATTCGTCTTTGTCTCTTGCAACATGAAACAGTTCTTCGACGCTGACATTTGTCCATTCCCTTACGTTTCGGAGTCAGGATTTTTCTTCCTGCCGATAGTTTTCCTCCCCCCTACTCTACCCAGCATTATGTTTTGTAGCAGTAGGTATTTATCGTTGCGTAAGATGTGTTCTATGTAAGATGTTTTTCTTGTCTTAATGAGTGTCAGCAGCTTTCTTTTGTGACCCAATGCATCTTAGTACTTCCTCGTTGGTGATTCTGTCAGTCCATGGTATTTTCAGAATGCATCTAGCCACATCTCGAATGCCTCAAGTTTTTTTATCAGTTGAGATTTCAAGGTCCAAGTTTCTACTCCGTATACAACAATACTGACCACACATATTATTCCATAAACCTTATTCTGATGTGGAGGTTTAGAGTTCTATTTGTAAGCATTGAGAAGTGTTCGCTCCATTTCCATTCTGATCTTGATTTCTTTGTCTGGATCTATTTGAGCATTCATGACTGAACCGAGATATATTTGTATTTTTGCACTCATTCTATTTGTTTTCCATTCAATGTGATTTTTTTTTTATTGTTTGGGTTTTTACTTATAATCATGAATTTAGTTTTTTCCGTGTTTATAGTGAGAAATATTTCTTCATATTCTCTCGGTTGACTCTCTCTAATAGGATTTGAAGATCTTCTGCACTCTCAGCCATTATAGCAGTATCACCGGCGAATTTTAGGTTGTTTAAATTCATTTTTACATGTAAAAGTATCACTTTAACCGTCGATGATTGTGAGACCTCCCTTAAAATGGTCGGTGCAAACAGCCATAATTTAATTCAATTATTGTTCCTCCAATGTTTACTCCCTCGGGTCTCTCTTCCAGGGTCCCTATTCTTGAAACAGGGAAGCAGCGTTCCCAGGAGAACGAGTGTTCCGTCTTTCTTAATGATATGCAAATGATAATATAAGTAACAAAAACGGAACACTCGTTCTCCTGGGAACGCTGCTCCAAGAATAAGGACCCAGTAGTTTCTGAAATACAAACTGAGAATTAGATTTGATAGTTGTGGGGATAGAACGCAGCCTTCGCGAACTCCCTTTTGTATTTCGATTTCATCTCATCTGTCTCCAGGTCCTCCCCAACACGCACTACTGCCATTTGGTTGTAGTAGATATTTTTTATTAATCGTATATTGCTCGGATCCAAATTGATATTTTTTAAGTTCTCTATGAGTTTATCGTGTTGGACTTTATCACAGGAAGTCAATGAAACAAACTTATACATTTTTGTTGCATTCTCTACTTTTCTTTAGCAGTACTGTAATAGCAGAATAATGCTTCTCTAGTTCCTAATCCTGCTCTAAAGCCAAACTGCACCTCATCTTGGTTGTTTTTCACATTTTCGATATATTCCCTGTCGGATTATTTTCATAAGTGTGTGACTCATCGATACGACTGATCATTCGATATTCAACACGGGACTTTTAGGGTTTTTCTTTCTGGGTAAGAGAATGAAGACTGATTTAGGCCAATCTTTTGGATTTTCTCCTGTTTCATAGATGTTGTTCCTTTGTGAGATGAGTGAAGTTTCCATGGTCCAAGGCCTTCAAGAACTCTGTTGGAATGTTGTCAGGTCCAGCCGCTTTTCTGTATTTCGAAATTTGTATTGCATAATACTCCACTTCTGATTTAATAATAGGTACAGGGTGTCCCACTAAGGTCGGCCAGGTACGATATTATGGAGACTATAGACCTTACGTAACTTGAAAACGAATGCAGATATTGAATTGCGGTTTGCGCCAAAATGTAGATATTTTTTTGCTCTTTAAGCACAGCATTACAAAAATAATATTATGCCATTTGGATTTTTCATGAAAATTAGAAAAAACTGGATCTTGAATAAACAGCGCCCTCTAGAAGATGCGGTGGGAACTATCGACCTCGAACGAAGTGGTGCTCTTAATAAAAATGAAATTCTCTTCCAAATAAACTCAAATTGAATGAGTTTGAATGAGGGGTATGGAAGATACAGCAATTTCTAAAAAAAAAATTCACCAGCTTCCCCCACCCTTATTACTGAAGATACGAAAAAAATCCTAATAACCAAACTGGCGCAAAAATTAATGAACTTTTGATTTCTGTTGTTAAAACAGTATCTTAATATAGCGATTTCTTGAGAAAAGTTGACTTTTTAGCTATATCCTCGTAATTGCGCCCCCTAGCGGTCATCCTAGAAACTTGAAAATAATTTCCATCAATTTCTCTTGGCCGATTTAGTGAAGAAAAAAAAAAATCCCGAAGCCGTAAGGTCTATGGTTTCCATAATACCGTACCTGGCCGACCTTAGTGGGACACCTGGTATATAGCTGTTCCGTCTGTCTGTTGTCTTCTCTTAGGTCATCTCGTTCTGCTACAAATAGATGTTTCATGTAGGGCGGGTATTATAAAAATACTTTGAGAGTTAACTTAAAGTTAACTTCTGGAATTACATGTAATTCAAAAAGTTAACTTCAAGTTAACTGTCAAAGCAGTTTTATAATACCCGCCCGTAGTCTTCCCAAGTCTGTTTATTGTCATCTTCTGTCAACTGGATCTCTCCCTGGATGTTTCTTCTGACCACTGGTGGCACTGGTATTCTTTTCCTTTTGTTTCCAGTATTCCAGTTAATTCATTCAATTTTTTTTTTTCGTCGACGGTAGCCTATAGAAAGTGTTAACTTTCTATACTGTTTTTCCTGACAAAACTGTATCAGTCTCTCACCAGGTCCAAAGTCCCCAGCAACATTTTCGACCCTGCCCTTAGGGAGGCCGCACATCAAAGAAACATGAAACGTGAAACATGAAACATAAAACGTGAAACTTGTTTCATGAAAATAGAACAAGAACAAACAAATACAAGTCTGCCCACCAATGAAACGAATTTGTTTCATGCGCGAGAAACATTTTTATTACTTGAAACGTGTTTCATGAAATAGATCGCGTTCTATTTTTCCGTTTCAGTTTCACGGTTTTTGGTCATAAATACATTCATAAAAAAATAATAACGACCAAGAATTTAATATTGTGTTCGTTTCAGTGGTAGAGCAAGATGGAGAATTGTATAAGTATAACATGGAGAAGTACTCGAATAGACAATCACAAGAAAAAGCCTGCCAAAATATTGCCTAACAGGTAGAAAGTACATTATTGTATGGATGTACCCAGTAACGTCGTTTCTTTTATGTTTTTGGCTTTTTGACGATAATAGAAAAGTTGCCACAACAGCAGTTGTTGTTGCTCGTCAACACTTTCCATTGTGTGCTACCCTCTATACTCCACTACACTACCAAAAGACTTAGCAAACATTATTCTTGTTTCTTCAATTAGTATGCAAGAGAGAAACGGTTTCGCTTTTCGTAATTTATTGTTTCATGTTTTACGTTTCATGTTTGATGTTTCACGTTTCATGTTTCTTTGATGTGCGGCCTGCCTATTACATATAAATATTTGGTTTGAATTTATAAAATATCCTAATTAATACTTAGTCACCACATCCAATTTAATTTTATACTTTTTGCCAAAATTTAAATCGATATTCTTTATTCCTAGTGTTTTGGAATTTATTTTATAGGTTGGTGAGCAGTTATTGAAGCATACATTGGGCACTAACAAGTAGTGAAGCAAAAACCACGGTCGTTCTCTTTTATTGAAATGCTTCAAAATTATTTAAATCATCCTTTTCTTTTTAATCAGCAGTTCCACTGCGGGACATTAGCTATACCTCTTCTTACTTCTTCCATACTTTTTGGTCTTGGAAAAGTGTAAACAAGAAAATTAAATCTTCATCGTTTTTATAACTTCCCATCAAAGTCTATTCCCACTTATCGAATTGGATAACGGATGTTTTATCAGCGAAACGAATATGGGGCTCGCAATTTTTCCACGATGGGAGCCATCAATTTGTTAGCGAAAAGATAAAAAGATATAGTTCAGAGTTGGGGGCATTCAAATAAGATAAAAAGTTTAATCCTTTTTCAAATGCAAAATTTCTTTTTTTTATTTTCTTGAGTCAGTAATCCCAATCAAAATAAGTTGGAATTTAGAATTTCCTCTCCTAGGCATCTCAAAAAATGTAAAATCACAAAGTGTTCCTAAATTCAAGGGTGCGTATGTTTAATTTCAAATATTGAAACAACGAGACGAGACGAGAAAAGAGCTCTCTCTCCTCGTATCGAAGGTCTCTCGTCGAGACGAGAAACTCATTTTCTCTCGAACCTTCAAGACAAGACAAAAGAGAGCGTATCCTCGTCTCGTACGTCTCGCAGCATCACTAATTTTTGGTCGGTTCTCGGATATTTATTATTATTATTATTATTATAAAGCATTTATTGTAAGTTTTACCGTTGATTTTTACATACAATATAATATTTACAGTAAACAGGTTATTGCCTATTCACAATAAGTAGGTATTAAGTATACCCCCACAAGAGAGTCTCGAGTTTCGCGTGTTCTTTACATCAATACGTTATCAATTATGGTACACATCGATACGAATTTGTAATATCGGGCGCTTTCTTAATCACCGATGGAATGGATCCCATCGATGACCAGTCTATCGTTTGTCTAGTTTATAGGAAGTCGGAGTGGTTGTCTCATAATGGTAGATTTAGATGGATACATCGATGAATAAAAGAAAGCACCCACATCATATCATCATATCATAGATCATCAGCAGGATTACAATTTTACTAGTCGATATGAGTCGAGCGTCTTTGTCATCATTTGCTATTCTAATTTCACGAGCACTCGTGCAGGATTCGAGTTCTCCTGTCATCTACGGTCGAAACCTAAACGGGTGCCGAGAGACATACTTGACCTCAAATTAATACGAATAAGATCTGTTCTACCACGTCAAAAATCTTCCCATGAACGGTTTCGAAACCACAACAAACAACTCTGTATACGAATTTCAGATTCTACGCACAATTTTTGGGCTCTGCGCAGAATCGGGACGGTATAAGCTTTGTTCCAACACAGCAGGAAACCGTAAAATGTACCATCACGATTTGTGCGTACAATCCGACATTCGCATACAGAATGATTTCCAAACTGCTCATGGGATGGTTTTTGACGTGTTGGAACAGTCCTATTTTGTACGGTTACTGTGTTGGAACAAAGCTATAATAAAGAATCGTTCGATAAGGGGAATTTCAATATTAAGGAGGAACACTGGCAAGTTTGGTAGTATCCTCTAAATAGCTCTACATGAATTTTGCATCTGATAGATCGAACGAAAGGGTCACTCCATACGAAGGCGGTGTCTATGCAAAAAATCCACCCCAGGAAGCAATACGATGTCGATTTTGTGTCAGGGGGGGTTTATTTGAAACGTGCAATTCAAATACGTCTGACTAAGTCGCAATTTTTACCGGTATTTCAATGCTTAAAAATGCGACTTGGTCAGACGAATTTGAATTGCACATTTCAAATAAACCCCCCCTGTATTTACTACATTCAAACCACTAAGGGCCGATTTCTCAATAACGAGTCACCTCCGGGTTAGTTTTAACTCCAGGGTAAGCGTGTCGAGTTGCTGTTTACCATATCGATGTTTCAAATAATTATCAGTTGATATATCATTACCTACTTTTAAATATTGGCAATTATTATCATCACAACTTTCCATTATTATTAGTGATGCCGCGAGACGAAACGAGACGAGAATGCGCTCCCTCTCGTCTTGTCTCGAAGTTTCGAGAGAAAATGAGTCTCTCGTCTCGACGAGACACCTTCGATAAGGGACAAGAGAGAGAGAGCTCTTCTTTCTTCTCGTTCTCGTTCTTGTCTCGTTTTCTCTCGTCTCTTGAGAGTTTTGACGCAGTAAGTTAATTTCCTCTCCGAGGTCAAGAAAATGCAAAAAAATGTATTCGCGCTTCTTGACTGAAATGTATAAAAATGTAATAATGCAAAAAATGTATTCTAACTCAACTAGAATGTAAAAAAAATTTAGTTATGTAATATCAGCTATAAATAGCTAAATAGCTGGTTCTAGGAAATATTGAAATTTTCTAGTTGTGTGGACATTTACGAACTTTCTTATCTTAGGAGATGCCTAATGTTTTATTGTACATTTTTCTATAGAGCCTGTTGTGAAATACGATACCGTTTAGATACATTTCAACATAAAAGCTGTGTTGCCATATATCAAAAACTAAAGGTGTTTCCTCGCGTCCCAAAGCTTTTAAACATTTTTCAAAACTGGTTTGAAACAGTTTCACCAATGACGTCATAACTTCTCGGCGCGAGAAAATGGTTCTAAAACGTGGATTGGATTGTAGGTATTTCGAAACGGTTTGAACCAATTTTGATGTGACGTCATGGGTTCATCGCGAGAATATACTGTTTCAAATCTGTTTTGAACAATAATGGTTTCTGAATCAGTTTCAAAAAAGTGAACGCGAGAAAACAGCTTAAGTCAAATGGAGGTTTGGCATTTAGAGGGTTTTAGTAATGTTGGGAATCTGAATTAATTACAATAAAAATAAAAAGGAACTTTCATTTGAAAAAAAAAAAAATTACATACGGCATCTTAATAGTAATTTCCATTCCAGTCCTAGTCCATAACACCACTAGTTGTGTTAATGTCTCATAACATAACTCATTTGTTTGACCAAGACCATTAGGTACCTATATGTAAATTTATGCAAAACTATTTGTGATTCTATTCAAGATGAATGAATCTCGGTATATTAGATAGGAACTAGATACCACCATTGGTGTCAGCAGGGGACTAGAGGGTGTTTTATTTAAAAAAAAAAGAAAGATGTATAGACTTTTCAAACATTTAATTTAATAGATTAATCGAGATATTAATAATCAAAACCAACATTTTTCTACTATATTTTCACGTAAAAAGATAAAATTGACAATAAAAATAATACCAGTTGTTAATCAACTTTCGTCATCTGAATAATCAGTAGAACTATCTTCTACCCCAACTGATATAGAAATGGGCTGTATTTCTTCTTCCAACAAGTGGTCTAGCTGTCACATCTTGTTTTATTCTTCTTTCACGATCGAGCTCCACACATTTATGCCATTTTTCTGCGTCTACATACCATACCTATTTAATTACTTTTTGAAAAATCTTCTCATCATTTATTTTATATGTGGTATTTTGAGTGGCTACTAAATATTTAATCTGAGCCCACACTAGCTCAATCGGATTGAATTCTTAGTGATATGGAGGAGTCCGAAGTACAATAATTTGTCGCTTTTCCGCCATATCATCAATCTTACATTTAGTAGGTAGGTATATTCCTGTTTTTTTTGTGTTCACTAGGGCCAAGAGTTCTTTTTTTACCATATCATTTAGAAGTTATATTCCTCTTCCAGAAAGCCACTTTTAATGTCTTCTTTTCGCCATGCAGTCGTTAGTACTCGAACAGCTTTTCGTGAATGATAAGGAGCATTATCAAGCACTATAATGGATCCTGACGGATTCAAATCTAACATCTTCTCGAAATATTCCTCAAACACATCGGCATTCATGTCTCTGTGGTGGTTGTCTCCAGTGTGCTTAGATTGAAACATTGGCTGCGTTAACCAGAACCAAAACGGGTTGTAAACAGTTTACAAATACCAACAGAATACATTGGGTAAACTCTTGGTTCTGCTGAACGATTCAACTTTTCAATGATAGAACGTCACCCTCTGAATGTCATGTCACTACACAAAACACGTGTTGAAAACTATAAACACTCTCTTGGTCTCGACTTTTTTTTCCAGCTTATATCAGACTAACTACATATTGATATACTTAATAATTATAGAGGTTGTTTCAGGTAAATCCATGAATATGTTAAGCAATATTGAATCTATTAAAAGTCTGATCCAATGTGATATGTGCATGCTCTAGATGGGGGTTATTGATATCAAGCTAAATAATAAAAATTCAGTTACAGCATTTTGGAAAATTTATTAAATTGCTTATACTTTAATATAAACTGGAATAGAAAAACAAGCAGTCAGCAAAATTTCTTGGTCCAAGAGGTTTCAAGAGCCAACTATAGTGTATCAATAGCAACTAGAATAAAAAACTGACAATAAATAAAATAATATCTGGCCAAACGGTGCAACTTAACATACTGAATAATATAACATGCATTGTCCTAGGGGCCCTTATACTATAAATTATTGTAAACAATAGCTCATAAAATACTAACATGGAACACACTACACTAAACTGTAATAACTGAGAAAAATATGCATATTACAATAAGGTTCGTTTATGCGGCCATACAAATCCTTAAACCGTTGGACGATTTTTTGAAGCAAACCTTATAGGGTAGCTTGTTCAGATCAAATCTCTATTGTAGAGCCGCATTATTGGAATCTTGCAAATGGTAATCTCGAAAATGGTAACAGTTACAGGCAGGCTCTCAATTTTTTTAAAATTTATCCTGGTTTTATTTGAGATGATATTTTTAAATCACTTAATAATTGTCCGTTTCCAAGATCCGAATTATGCGGCTCAAACTGGAAACACCCTGTACATATTTTTCTTCTCATTAGAGTAAATACTAATTAACCACTAATGTGAACATATTGTATCACAGACGAAAATAAAGATTAAAATGACATCTAAAAAGTAATGAGGGAATGATTTTTATATCGAGACGTCTCCATATTGAAGCGACCATTTTTCATAAGCTACCAAACTGTGGGGAGACACGCTTCTTCTTATACGTTTTAGAGAATCTAGGAAATCCGCCATTGTTATACTTCTCACAGCACTTGGATCCAGGTGTTTGACTTGTTCTGGTTCAAGTTCTGTAATAAATATTACTTTTGATCAATTGAAAAATTATTAATTAGTTTTATAAAATCATGATTTGGAAAGAACCTGCTATTGAACGAGACATTCTGCTAGAATTAAAAGTTATAATTTTTTCCATGAAATATCTCACACTTGGGTTAATTTGCATCCTCTTCAGCTTCTCATTATTAGGGGCTAAGGCCTTGACATAATCTTAATCCAAGTGAAGCAAAAAAAAATAAATAAAATTCTCACCTCTAATTGGGCCTAAAGCAGCATCTTTAGCAAGAGCAGTCAAGTCACTAGCAGAATACCCTTCAGTCAGAGTAGCTAATCGTCTTAATTCTGACTGTGTAAGACTACACCCTTGTTTGGCAAGTAGTTTTTTCAATAAACATATTCTAGTATCTAAATTTGGCAAGGTAACATACACCCTTTTCGGAAATCGTCGCAGAGCCGCCTCATCTAGCTCTTGTGGGCGGTTAGTGGCAGCCATAATCAGTACTTTTTCATCTGGATTGCTCGGCAAACCATCAAATTCGACTAGGAACTCAGTTTTCAATCGGCGACTGGCTTCGTGTTCACTATTCGATCTTTCCGACAAAAGCGAGTCTACTTCGTCAATAAATATTATGGAAGGCTGAAGTTCTCTGGCGATAGCAAACAAGGCTCGGACCAACTTTTCTCCATCCCCGACATACTTTGATGTAAGGCTGGCAGCACTTATAGAGAAAAATGTAGCCTGGCACTCTGTAGCAACAGCCCTGGCCAATAAAGTTTTGCCATTTCCCGGCGGCCCGAATAGCAAAAGTCCTCTGGCAGGTGTTCTTAAGCCAGTAAAAAGTTCTGGACGTAAAGATGGCAAAATAACCATCTCTTGTAGGGCTTGTTTGGCAGTTTCTTGTCCGACAATATCGTGCCATTGAACTTGCGCACCACCCACCACAATTTCATCAAGGATGCAATTGGCCAGTTTTGGATCTATACCTTTGAGGGCAGGAGAACGTGCACGAATTGCTCCAGGTTTTGCTGTAGGCGCATTAATGTTGTTGCTGTTATTAATACGTCTGGATGGCGATCCAACGTTGCCTGGAATGCTTAGTTGTTTTTTAACTGCCGGAGGTGTAGAAGAGATTTTATTGAATGGCCGAACAGGTTGTACTGGAGCTGAACGTGAACCCATGGATCTAGGTAGAGTTTGGCTTTTCGAAAGGGTGGTATTGGTTGGACGTTTTGCTGCAACTGTCAACTTTCTTCCAGAAGCTGTAAATACAAATCTATTAACTTAATTAAAAAAAAATATATACTTACTTGAATAAAAGATGAACATAACATAAAAGCTCAATTTTTAAAAATCAGTTAGTTGGTGTTAATAAATATTGCAAAGTAACTGAAGCATAGAGCATCACTGATCGATGGATCTTGTAGAATAATCTGGAGCTAAGCAATACAATATAATTGTTATCATAGAATCAAGTAGTAGTAAAAGCAAAAAAAAAAAACAAACACAAGTGGGTGAAAAAGAAAAAACGCAAATAAAAAATACCTGGGGGTTTAGGAACTTTTACTAGTGGTTTAGGAATATTGCTAAGCTTAGGTGGCCTAGGTGGTGTTTCAGGATCTGACTGCCCCTTAAATTCTTGTAGACTGGATTCTATAAATAAAAATAAGTTTGAATAATAGGGGAAACTACAACGCGCACAGAAACAGGAAAAACTAACTAATAAATTTCAAAAAGCTAAAGCAAAAAGCAAGATCATGTCAAAAAACTTTGGTTATTTTATTTGTATTCCTGTGTTGAGCTAGAAATTTGGTTGTGACTTTTGGGAATATGTATTCAATATTTTTATTCTAATTGAAGAATTAAATTATCAGTTGATAATTGTCTTGGCTGATTGGGAAAAATCCTGAATACTTTTTACTTAAATCCAGAAACGGATGTGCTCTTCTTTGGATTCAAAGAGGTGAGTATTGATGCTCGGAAGAACACAGCATAGGAAACATATGAGCATTTATACAACAAAGTACTTAAGATCTCTCAAAAATAATATTCTTTATTCTACTGAAAAAATTAATCAACATAGTCCTAGCGGTACATGAAAAAAAAACAGCAAATTGTGTTAAAAGCATGAATTTTGGTACACTTGGTCTTTCAACCATAACAATTGATTCGGCCTGTAGCACTACCCCACAACTGTCATTTGTTTATATTTGTTTAAACAATTCACTCGATCTGTTAAAAAAGCACAAAACAGGCTTGGCATCTGGTGCCAATGCCAAATAAAATTTAGATTGGAAGTTGATAAAAAGGACGGAAAGTCATGCTGACCCATACAAAAGCAATCCTGATCCAAGTCGCCACTTTGATTAATTGAACCCTATGCTGGAACAACGTTGCAAACGACAATATGTGTAAAAACGGTATTTTCGTGGAACAATGCTGTATGTACCCTGGATAATCCGCCTACTTAATAGTGGGGGCATAGGATTTTTTTTGATGGGTTATTGATGCCATTTTAATTGGTCCAGTTTGTCCTTTTTGTGGAACAACGTTTTAAGTGCAACCTCGCCCTAGTTGGTTTTTAGTCTTAAAACAACGTTGTAACCGCCTTAGTTTCATGAAACAACGTTGTAACCGACATGGATATACAACGTTGTTTGAATGAAATGAGAAAAATATGCTCGTAAATCACAATTCTTCATGTGGTCTTCAATACCTATAAGATGCTAAGTTCTTTTCAGTTAAGTTATATCTATATCATGCACAAATCCACTATATTTGATAAAGCAATCGATCATTTTTTGTTTTTTTCGAATTTCTAACAAAACAAAATTTGGCGTTTGAAATGTTGTTCCAGCATAGGGTTCAATTGTTTAAACATATTGTTCACTTTTGTTTATGCAACATTATTGATTTTTCGAATATTGCATGTGGGGAATCGATTTCGACTAATTAGGGGTCAAAAATCTCGAATAATAACATTAGAACTCGTTTGCAAGGCTTTTTTAATTGTTCTTCTGTATTTTAGAAGAAAATATTGAACAAAATTTGACGCTCAAGTGACAGTGGATAAATAACTGAGGATAAATGAATTAATAAAACCATTAAATAATAGCTATTTATGTAACAAGTTGTAAAATGAGCGTGTTTTTTGCACTAAATATGAAGATTGAACACTCAGTGTTGATAAAGAAAGTATTAATCACCTGTTAAAAGATGGATGTGAAACTTTATCGAAAATCATCAGAAAAAAAAAAACTCAATTTGACGCAAATTTTTTCATATTTTCATTCCAGAAGGGCCGCATAAGTGCCCTAAAACCTTACCGATTTCGAAAAAAAAGAACACTATGTTGATCAAGAAAGTAATAATCTATCAAAAAATGAATGTGGAACGCTATCTATCGGAAATCTTTAGAAAAAAAAAGCTCAAGTTGAAGCAAAATTTTTCATATTTTCAACCCATAAGGGCCATAAGTGCCCTAAAACCGTCAGATTTCTCAAAAGAATTGGACACAATGTTGATAAAGAAAGTATTAATCACCTGTCAAAAGATGAATGTGGAACTCTATCGAAAATCATCAGAAAAAACACAAAATCTTAATTTGAAGCAAATTTTTTCATATTTTCATTCCATAAGGACCATAACTGCCCTAAAACCGTACCGATTTTGAAAATAAGTAGACACATTGTTGATGGAGAAGGTTATCATCACCTGTCAAAAGATAAATGTGGAACTTTATCGAAAATCATCAGAAAAAAAAAACTAAAAACTGAATTTAAAGCAAATTTTTTCATATTTTCAACTTGTGGCCTTAAACCGTACCGATTTTAAAAAAAAAATGGACAAAATGCTATTAAAGTATTAATCACCTGTCAAAATATGAATGTGAACCCTATCAAAAATCATTAGAAAAAAAATAAAAACTCAATTTGAAGGAAATTTTTTCATATTTTCATTCCATAAGGGCCATAAGTGCCCTAAAACCGTACCGATTTCGAAAAAAAAAAAAATGACACAATGTTGATAAAGAAGGTATTAATCACCTATTATAAGATGAATGTGGAACCCTATCGAAAATCTTCAGAAAAAAATAAAAGCTCAATTTGAAGCAAATTTTCTCATATTTTCAACGCATAAGGGCCATAAGTGCCCTAAAACCGTCAGATTTCTCAAAAGAATTGGACACAATGTTGATAAAGAAAGTATTAATCACCTGTCAAAAGATGAATGTGGAACCCTATCAAAAAACGTTCTCGCTCTCCTTTACTCTGGCACTGGAATTGTCGTTATTTCACATAAGAGCGGCGCATAGCATAATTTAAAAAAAAAAAAAATCAATAATTTGTATCATGGAAGTATTAAAAATGAGCGGAAACGAGTTCTTATGTTAATAGTCGAGCTTCTTGACCCGTAATTAGTCGAAATCGATTCCCCACATGCAATATTCGAAAAATCAATAATTTTGTATAAACAAAAAATCAAAATGGCGACTTGGGTCAGGATGGGCCTTTGGATGGATCACATTGACTTTCCGTCCTTTTTATCAACTTCCAATGTAAATTTTATTTGGCATTGGCATATGGTGAGCCTATTTTGCGCTTTTTTAACAGATCGAGTGAATTGTTTAAACAAATGACAGTTGTGGGGTAGTGCTACGAGCCAAATCAATTGTTATGGTTTAAATACCAAGTATACCAAAATTCATGCTTTTAACACAATTTGCCGTTTTTCACTAAATATCTATGTGTACCGCTAGCACTAACAAAAGAAATATCCATCCCAAAAATACTTGTTATACTGGTACTATACAAAAATAATGATAAAAACTACCTAAACAATTTATAGCTCACACTCATGCTATCCAAAGCACCCAATAAACTTTAGTTATAGTTGAGTATATGTTAAGTATAAGTATACCATTATGTCAACTCTTTTGTACTGGAAGATTTGGTTGTCAATTTGTATTGCAAAAACAATTTTAAAACCGTAGCTATTCTGGCCGCGGATTGATAAAAATGATAATAATAATTCCCCTTTCAAGATCATGATACGAAAATGTACAGGGTGATCCAGTATAAAGTGAACACCCCCTACCTTTTCGCTAAAAAATTTTTTTTTCAAAAAATCAAAATAGCCATTTGGTGTATTTTGTTTCTAGGTATTTGAGAACGTTTTTCGAAATTTAATTAGATTTTTCGTTAAAGCGCTGGTGATCAATTTTTGACCGTTCGCAAATATAGAAACGTATGTAGATTGTTCCTAAATCTGCGAACAGCCACAAGTTCTGATTTTTGGCCGTTCGCAAAGTTTCGTATGCGCATATTTTCATTCGCTTTTCTGCGAGCGGTATTCTAGTCGCCTTATTCGGTTTGCGTATTCGTTTTTCTTGTGTCAAGTGGGGATGTTAGGTTGATTTTGTTTGTCAATTTGTTTGATAGCGATTTTATTATTGGATTATTGTGTATCTACTACCACTACCTCTGTATCTGGGAAGGTGGTATTTAAGGTATGCTACAGCACTTAGGCCACAATTATGCCCATTGTGCGCCTCCACAAGAGGAGAGGTCATCCACGTCACCCAGCCTAGCGATTCTACGTAGGCGATGACGTCGCCGAAGGCGGTGCCTCAGATCTCTTCTAATGATTGGTACGATTGGCCTAATCTGGCTCTGAGTATTGGCGAAAGAGCAGTGCAGGCACACAGAATGTACTCTATCGTCTCGTCTTCTTGATTACAAGGTGTATCTACTATAATATGGAAAACTTGATGCAAGTCGTTATTTGGAAAACGCAGAGATATGAAATCGACGCAACCATCGACATAACCGCCGTGATCCATTCGTAGAGCTAAACCAAAGGGCCTGTTTCTCAATAGCGAGTCACCTCTGGGTTGATTTTAAGTCCAGGTTGAACGTGTCTAGTTGCAGTGTTTACCCTGACGTTATGCTTAACTCGGGGGTGGCTTGATATTGAGAAACCGGCCCAAAGACAGTTTATTGAAGGGTGTTGCTTGTTCTACCTGCTGGGAAAATTAGGAAGATCTGCTAGGAACTGCTATTTATGAGCTTATATGAGACAGGTGAACGCTGATCTGCTGCTGAGATCTGCTTGAAGCAGAAAAAGCAGTACAAACTACAAATAAACACTCTATTGATATTGTTCTGATTGTCGAAGGAGCTGGTTAGATATTTGGTCGAATGTTAAGAACCTCATACATGTCTGGCACAACGACCAACAGATTTAGATGTCTTGACTAAAGTAGGAAATGAATGTTATTTAGAAGGTTGTTTTGCAATGTTTGTTATACAGTTAGTTTAATGCGGTACTACTCATAGGTCTTGATTACGCGTTAAAATTTTTCGGAAGCGGTAGCTATCAACCGGATTAGCTGTAGCTTGCTTTTCACATAAGTTTCCTTTGCTTTTCACTGGCATTCGCACCCCTTTTCTTTTAGTTTTTGGCACTGGCTTTCTTCCATAATTTACCATTATCGTAAACATCCACAATTCGTCAAAGTTAATTCAAAAAGGCAAAAACACGTCAAAAATTTGTCAAACATTCTAAAATTTCCGACGTTGCCAAATCAATTATACGTATGTTTACGAATTCGCAATATCTATGTTTATCCATCTATGCACACCGGTCAAAAA